GAAGGAGGGTCCTGACCTGAAACGTTAACTTTCCTGCTCCTCTGATGCTGCCTGGCCTGCTGTGTTCCTCCAGCTCCACACTGTGTTATCTCTGACTCTAGCATCTGCAGTTCGTACTATCTCGAAGTCACATTGAAGTTTTTTCCCTAATGTAGGTCTGAGTTGCTGAGATAGTTCATCATGGATCTGTTTTATTGAAGGGTTACTGGACCTGAAATGTTAACTGATTTCTCTCCACCAATGCTGCCAGACCTGCTGAGTTTTCCCAGCAATTTCTGCTTTTGCTTTATTGAATGCTATTTTGATTTAATTTGATTTGATTTATTATTGTCACATGTACCTAGATACAGTGAAAAGTTTTGTTTTGCATGCAGTACAAGCAGATCATACCAAAAAAAGTGCATTAGAGTAATAGAACAGAATGAAGAATACAATCTTACAGCTACACAAAGAGTGAGATCTACATTAGATTTGAAATTTGAGAGGTCCATTTAGAAATCTAATAACAGCAGGGAAGAAGCTGTTCTTGAATCTGTAGGTATATCTGCTCATACTTCTGTATCTTCTGTCCAACGGAAGAGGTTGGAAGAGATTATCCGTTCCGAGGAAGGGTCACTGGACCTGAAACGTTAACTCTGTCTTTTTCCTTCACAGGTGCTGCCAGACCTGCTGAGCTTTTCCAGCAACTTTGTTTTTGTTGTTGTTGTGTGGAAGAGATTATAACCGGATTGCAATGCTGTTTCATATAATGCTGTTTTGAGTTCACTGAAATTGCTGATCTTTCAACTTCAATCTTCCTTATTTCTCCTTTTTTCTAATCTTTTTGCTTAAATTTTCAACTTTCCCTTTCCAGAAGTCAACCACCCCCTGCCCCCACTGGGAAAGAATTTTTTTTAAATTTTGAAAACCCTCCACTAAATAAAAAAATTCAAATACAGCCTACAAGGGGTAAAGGACCCAGCTCTTTCTCATATTTTCTCATCAACCTGTTCAGTGAAAACCTGTGGATCAGGTGGGATTTGAAATTGGATCACCTGGTCTAGAGGCATGTGCACTACCAATGCACCACAAGACCCCTGAAAAATCTTCTTTATTTCTAAGTTTTCAGTCAACTTATTCAGAGATGTTATGACACAGCTCTGGAGCAGGTAGGACTTGAACCTGGCTCTCCCATTGCAGGGGTGGGGATATTACCACTGCACACCAGAGCCTTCAAAATTTTCTCTATTTCCGTCCCATTAGTAAAACACTTAAGCTGTCTTTTTTTATTGAAAGCCTCGGTAATGTATGTACAGAAAATAGGAGGCTGAGCAATGTGACCTAAGGCAAGACTTGTGGCAGATTTGGACGACATCTCTGATGAGGCCTATCTTGATGTCAAGACCATCTCGCTGCATCTTTCATGATTTGCTGAGTGGTGAGAAAATTTCTCATTGGGCAGCAGTGAGTTGCCAATTATGGGGGCATTACTGTTTGTTAAGCACCTTATTAAGGCCAATCTCATCTCATTCATATTCAGCTTATCTCACCAAACTTTCTGAACAAGCTGGATGTTGAGAACTCTTGATGACATGGAAGTCAGAGCGGGCACCCAGTGAGTTTCAGCTCATCACTTGGACACTGGGCACCAAAATCTCAGGCCATGCTCGATGGATACCAACCACACACAATCCATGTGCATGGACATTGGCATCCAACATGTGCTAGCCTGTAATAACCCTCATGGCACATCTCTGATCCACTTAAATACTTTTTTGCACTTCAATGCTGCACCTTGGGCTGTAATGCTGTAGCTCAGGGACAGGCACCCAGCTCAGGGACTTAGGGACGGTCACCAGACCCGAAACATTAACTCTGATTTTTTTCTTCACAGATGCTACCAGACTTGCTGAGCTTTTCAAGCAACTCCTGTTTTTGTTCTGGCTCAGGGACTTCTCTATCATAACATTCGCTTGCTCAGTGGCTCCCTGGATACTCACAACATCCCTGCCTTGCCTTATTGCGCTCTGCCCCCTCACCCGGAGATGCCAGACTCATATTGCCCCTGTTGCCCTGCTGCTTGGCACCAATACAAAGCCAGGAAGCTGACCAATCCTCACCGGCACTCACCTATCACCATCCTATCTACCTTCCCCAGTCCCACCCCTCCTCTCTCTATTTATTTTGGAGCTCCCTTCCCTCTCCCCATTTCTGAAGAAGGGTCCCGGCCTGAAACGTCAACTTTCGTGCTCCACTGATGCTGCCTGGCCTGCTCAGTCAAGCCAAGGGAGACAGCCTTCAATCAGGGGTGGTCCTGGCACAAGAAGTCAAGGGTAGCCTTGGCTTGGACATGGTCGGTTAGACCCTCCAGATGGTCATTCAAGACACTCTCCTCAAAAGGGATGAGGAGCTGAATGCTGTGTAGCTCCTCACCCATCTTGACACTTTCTGCCCTATTTTGGGCTGATTTCCTTCTGGAATGAGGCAGCTGTAGGGATTATGAGAAATGAAAGTGGATGGCACAACTGTTACCGTTGGCGTGGATGCGGAGGTGTCCCGAGTGAGCGAGTAGGCAGCACAGAGGGCATTCAGGGTTAGTGGTGTCGGAGGTGGTAGTGGGGATAGCGAGTGAGGGAGATATTGCAGGGGATAGTTTAAGTGGTAGAGCACAAGCCTTGGTGGGGGACGGGCACAGTAGCAGAGATGGAACAAGTGTGAGGTATCGGAGAAAAGATGGTGGTACTTACACTGGCAGAGACAGACAATGACCTTCTTCCCACTGTGCTGGGCATCCTCCAGATGGCTGAGACTGCAGTGACTGGGTTGGGTGGGGGCGAGGGGATAGTTTGGGCAAACTCAGACCAGTTGGCATTGGCCTGGTGTCATGGCCTCCTCTGCTGGTCCTGGGATGGTGAATGTGCTGTGTCAGCACCACTCCATCCAGCAAATGTTCCCGATCCCTGCCTGCACAGCAGAACAATTACCCCTTGTTTGCTGTGTACGGGGCAAATATCAGGAACAGTGTAGGGCGGCTCTGACCTTACAGTGTTTGTATGGTGGCATGACGACTTTTAAAGATGGTTTTGGCAAAAGGGATACCAGTCTCGCGACAGATATCCGATGTGTGGCGAATTCTGGGAACAGCTAATGGTAAGATGGCACTAGAATAGGATATGAAGGACTCCATAAGGGTGGGGCAGGCAGTTAATGTGGTGAGTTTGGTAATAAATGGTAAGAGAATCCACCAGGGCTCACAGTGAGAATTCCTGAAAAAAATCTTAACGTAGTTTGCACTTAGCCAAAAAAACTGCAAGATTCAGTCCAATATCTCTAACTATGTAAAATACAAGAGGCAGAATATTGGTGAATACGTGCTTACATGATGTTTTATCCTGTGAAAATGTCTGAAGGTGCTTCACAGATATTCATTCTTTTATTGAAGTGCAGTTAACTATTGAATGAGAGGAATGATCATTTAATAGAGATGAAATTGTTAATTAATCTGGAAACCAGGGGGTCGGGCAGAATGCCAGCCCAGTCAGGCACCACATTATTATTGATGCTTCAGACTGATTTTCATCACTCAGGCTTGCAACGTTGACCTGTACTGGCTGCATGAGGGGCACAAAACTGAACTTTACCTCAAGGCAGTTGGTATCTCTGAGGAGTGCCTTGTGGCTACAGACAAAGGAGAAGGTTGCTCAGGAAAACATGGCTGTAACAACTACAGCAGATTCACTAGTTCCTCAGTGTCATGTGAAGAGATCTTAAACAGATGGTGGGAGATCCTATTCTTGCCAAGGGAAAAAGGATGAAAGGGAGGTTAATGCCAGGAAGCAAGATCCTAGGGCACCTTTCTTATTCCTTTATGGGATATGTGCATCACTGGCTGGGCTAGCATTTATTGACAATCCCTAGTTGCCATGGAGAGGTGGTGAGCTGCCTTTTAGAACTGCTGCAGTTCATTTGGTTTAGGTAGACCCACAATGCTCTTGGGTAGGGAGTTTCAGGATTTTGACCAGCATCAATGAAGGAACAGTGATATATTTCCAACTGAGGATAGTATGTGGCTTGGAGGCAAACTTGCAGGTAGTTGTGTTCTCCTGCAGCTGCTGCCCTTGTCCTTCTAGATAGGAGAGGCTCTGGGTTCTGAAGGTGTTGTCAAAGCAGCTTTTGTGGGTTGCTGTTGGATGGAATGTTCTCTTATGCTCTGCCCATAACACCAGCCAAACTACTCAAAATATCCTCTCCAAGTCACTTGTCTACGCTCAATGCACACTTCATTTCCTTGTCCTCTAATTCAAACACCTTTTGAATTTCTGGGCCTTCACTGCTCATCTCAAGAGACAGACTAGAGAAAGCAAAATACTGTGAATGGACTGGATAGCTGAAAACAAAAACAGAAAATCCTGGAAATGCTCAGATCTGCAGGAAGAGAAATAGAGTTAACATTTTAGGTGTGACATTAACTGAACACTGTGTTTCTTGTAGGAATGTCTACCATGAACAGCTTGCACGCTTTTCTCTGACAGGATTTCCATTTGTCTCTTCCACCTTGTTCACCCTAATTACTCCGTCCTTCTTGTGTCTGGTCAGGTATCTACCAAACCACTTTTCCCTGCCACGTTAGCAACCGTCTCCAGCTCCAACATATTCTCTGTGGATTCTGATTGTGATTCAAATCCTTGGATCTACCCAAGATTACAGAAATGGGTTTTGACCAAAGGCCACAGATCTGACCCGTTAACTGTTCCCATCTTCACAGATGCTGAGTGCTTCCATCAATTTTAATTCAGGCAGAAGAGATGTCCAGATTGATGTCTCATCTGAAGGAAAGAAGCAAAAGATATTTTGCTCAGCTCCAGAGTCCCTTTTGTGAAAGATTGTCTGTCTGGTCCAATGTCAGATGAGCCCAACGCTATTTGATAAATGCAACCTTTTGCTCAGTCACCTGCATGTGCCTTGTCGGTGACCAATGTAAATTCAGGCTTGGCCAGGATCACAACAATAAACAGGAACAGTGGGTTTAACGATGTTTATTGTGCTGTCAAGAGCGAATTTACAAGAAAATGCCTTACATTTAAAAAAAAAGTAAACAAGCAAACTGCGGAACTGCAGTGCACTCCAAGTGCCACATACGCATCTATTTTAGAAATATTTTGCATTATCTTACATTAGCACAACAGTAACCAAAGTACAAGAGTGTAATGGATACAGTACGTAGTGGACAGCAATCTTTCTTCCCCTCATATTTTTTTTAAAAAAGCATCTTACCCCATATGTCCTGCATCCTGTTAGTTTTTATTTTAATGTCATCTCCAAAATTCAACCACAATCACAAAAATAAGAACAAGTAGTGAAATAATACCTGTTAAAAAAATTCTCAACACAATTCTTTTGGTTGGGAAAGGAATAAACAATTGGTCTTGATCATACAGGAAGAATTCTATTCCCATATCCAAGTGGGGAGAGTCGGGGATGGGATGGCAGGGGAGAAAGTGGGGGTACAGACAGCAAAGAAAACAAGTTTCAAGAGATAACCATCACTGGGTGGGAACAATGAAACAGTCATGTAGACAGGAAAAAATCTCGACCCTTAATTAAACCAGATCACCTTTCTTTTCCTTCCGTACAAATAGCGCAAAAAAACTGTACATCTTGCGATGTTCTAACTTTTCATTAATCTTCAGATTAATAAATTAGGTCAAACAATAAATTAGACTTTTTTTCAGCTTCAAGTTCAGCAAGCTTCGACCCCAAGTATCTACAACAATACTTGAGAATTCCACTACGAAACACAAGTACAAATGTTTTCACATTAAAGCAAACTGGGAAATGGTTTTTCTCATGAAAGCACTTTAAAAAGGTATTACACAAAAAAGGGCTAATTAGTACAAAAAGTGCCAAGACCTGTCTTTTGTTTTTAATACATTTAGTAAGTTATAACCACTAATAGGCATACTACAAAAAAAAAGTCCAGCTTATCAATGCAAACATTCCAGTAGTTCTTTTATTAGTAACTTTTCAGTACCAGGAACCATGTCATTTACTTTGTATCTTTCTCTCTCTCCCTCAATGTAGGTTGGTGATGCCTTTCAATGCCATCTGGAGATCTTCACAATTACCCATAATACATACTTCAATGGAGCAAATAAATCACGTTCAATCAACAACCTGCATTTGCATAGCACCTTTATGTCAGGGCAAAATAAAAGTGGCGCCCTTGGTGCCTCATAGGAAATTAGTTGGACAATAATTGAAAGGAAGGGATATCGAAAAGGGCAATTAAATGTTTTGTCAAAGAGGTAGGTTGCAAGGAGTGCGTTGGGGAGAGAAGACAGATGGTGTGGGTAACGTAGCTGAACGCACAGCCACCAATTCTGGGGATAATGGATGGGGCGGGGTTGGGGGGAGTGCATAAGGGTCAGAGTTGGAGGAACGCAAACTCTGATGGGACACGTTGCGGTTTGGGCTCCCTGGACGTCATTTCCATTTTTTTTTAACACGATGGCCCTTTGACTAGTGTGTGGGAGAGGGGGAGGGTGAGGGGAGGGGTAGTCTTCTCCCCACTCCACCCCCACTTCCAGGTTGAAGCTCCACTGCATTGATCAACATCTCTGTTCACTGGCAATGCCAAGCAGGAGTGCTGAGCACCCGTGGGTGCTACAGGAAGGGCAGGAGGTGACAAGTCAGCGATGGATCTGAATATTCCGGTAGCTCTGGGATTACTCTTGGGCCAGCAGGCTGACAGATCCCGGCGAGGGGTGGGGTGGGGAGAGTATGTTTGACTGAGCGGTGGGAGAGGAACGAGGTCTCTGATAGACACAGGGCACCTTGACACAAGCTCTACAATTCTACCAGCCGGCAGCGTGCAGGATTTAATCTGCCAGTCTACATATTGGGTGCAGATCTCTCCTGCCATCCATTACGTCAAGAACTGGCCAGGGGTTAGGGGAGGACCAGGCCTTAAATGTGGCATTAAATGCCCACTTAAGAGCTTCGATTGGCACAATGATGGGCAACACACTCAGTCCACCCCCATTCCTTCTGTTCCCTGAAATCTTGTTTGGGGCAGAGTTGGATAGACAGGCAGCAGGACAGTACTGGGTCACCCTCTCCTGGCTCCACCTGCTCTACTATCTTATCGGTGAGTGGCCTGTAGCATTCAGCCCCATGGAGCCAGGTGGGGGTGGAAGAGCGGAATGACAACACTTTCTTGGACCTCTCAGAGGAAAGGGAAGTTCAAGATGGGGTGGTAGCTATCAAAGACAGTAGAAGGGGGGAGTTCAAGGAAATGTTTTTCAGGGGAGGGACCCCACGGGTGGGTAAGCAATCCTGAGGAGAGGGAACCACTTACAATGCTTGCTGTTGCGAATGTCAGGAAGGGAAGCTGTTTTGTAGGAACTGGATTGAGAGAGTACGTGGTTGCTCTCAGGGACAAGATGAGCTCAGACATGGCATAATGAGAACTAAAAGAAAAAATTGGAAGATGAGTTCAAGGCAAGGGCAGTGTGGAGTAAAGGGTTAACTATACCTTTACTCTAAGAACAACTGAGCATGTGCATAAGGAGTTACGTGGTTTAGATCACATGAACTGAGACTTGAGTGTGCAGGGTTCCAGAAGATGACCTGTTTTACCATCCCTCGTATATAGAGTTATGTCTAACTGAGCCTGTTATTGTTTACTCACCTGAGTCAGGCTTCATCATGCTTCAGGCGAAGGCATTGGGGGAGGGGGGTGTGGTGTTCTTCAGCTTGGTGGACAAAGGAAGGGGGACAATGCAGCAGACACAACTCAATAAATGGGCTCCAATTTCCTGACAAAGTCCATGAGCTCTTTTGTGCTTGTTGGAGGTGGGTTTGAAGTGGCTTAAGAGGCCAATAGTTCGTGGAGAAAATAATCCAAAGTTCCCTTTGGACGGAAATGCCTTGTTTTTGGTCAATTGTGGAGCTGGGATCGTTGTGACAACAAAGAGCAGGGTCAATTATACTTTGTGCAGTTCAGTCAGATCCAGTGATTAATAGCTAAACTGCACAAGGGATAAATGGGTGGAAGTCTGTGCCTGTTGCATTTGAGGGAGTGATGACAGACACCATCGCAGAGAGGGAAAAGAGGGAGGATTTTACTCAGCATCAAAAGCAGAGGGAGGGGACAATTTAATTAACAGGTGTGAATGGAGGTCCCAAGGCTGAACTGTTGGGGCTGGAGGTTTTACTGAGGCCGATGTAAAATGACGCAGGGGTGGGAGAGGAATGTGATTGGTGGGGATATTAGTTCAGACAGGGCGGGGGAGGAGGCATTGAAATCATTGGGGTCGACTGGTGAGAAACCCACTTTGTCTCTTCCGGGGAAGGCCCATAGGATCACATACTAATCAGGCAGTGGCGAGGCTATCCGGTGGGCTTTCCACTGGAATCAAGACCCCGGGGTATGGAAGGATTCGGATATGCTACCTGCCTAATTAAGTGCCACCTCCACCCTTCTCCCGGGATAAAGGGGAGAAGATTCTGTCCACTAAGTGCAGAAGCCCTTGCCTCCGGGAACACATAAAACAACAGCACGAGGATACAGAATGAGGCCCTTTGTTGGCCACTGTTTGGAACTTGAGGGCCTCAAGAGACCCGAAGGCGGCTTGGCTGTCTGATACCGTCCCTACCCGTGTAATGTGGGAGACAGGTCAGGATGAATGGGCAGGCCAGCTGTCCATTTTACAATCTCCCCTGTACATCACCCCTCCCCTAGCCCTGCCTTCAAATACAGCAGTGAGGGCTGGGGGCTGGGGAAGGGAGTAAAATCCACCCTTCTGTTTCTCTCCACAAACACTGGCATCACCCCGCACAGTATCTCCAGCGTCTTCTGTTCTTATTTCAGGTTTCCAGCAGCATCTGCAGTATTCTGGTCTCCGATGAGAGCTGAGCCTGATCCTGTCCTTGCCCGTAGGTGGGGAGTGAGGGAGCAGGGACATCGGTTAAATCATTCCCTCCTGAACCTGGGAGCCATGAGGCCATTCACTGGCTCCCTTACCGATGCCCGAGCCGACAGGGGCACCTTAGAGCATAGCCTGGGAATTGAGACTGGGACCACCTTGTCCTGTGAGCTAAGCTCTGCACCAGGCTCTGCATTTTATTCACTCTGCCACTGGGGAATAACAGCTTCTGTTATTTTATTTTACAAATAGAGATCCTGGTGCATTCTGGGAAGAGAAAAACTGCCTGTCAGAACTTCTGCAAGAGGAGGAAAAAAAGACAAACAAGTACAAAGCACACTGTTTATAATAGGAACCAAAAAAAAATGCTGCCCAGTGCATAATATCCTTAAATTGCAACAGGAATCAAACAACAGACTGACACAAAAGCTGTACAAGTTAATCAATGACATAGTAGCTGGACAAAAGAAAGACTAACTTTTAAGTGGGGGAGAAAAAATTCAAGATTGACAAGCATTGGTACTGTATTATGGATAACTGTGAGACCCATTTTGCGATCTTTAAAGCCCTTTGGAGGCTGAAATCAGAAGTAGCGAGAGCAGTGCTGAAGCCGTCAGCAAAAAGGCACAAAATCTTAGGTAAAATGAGATGCTCTTTCCTTTTGCGAGTCCTGTGAGCCATCAAGCACTAAAATGGAATGACTGTTAAGCTAATTTTTTTTTAAACTGGATAAAATCTCTCTAGGATATAAATACATTAAACAGGAAAACATAGAAAATTATATATATGTACAAATACTTTTGTTTTAGCATAATATATATTAACATAAATATTCCTATAATGCTAATGTTTCACAAAGCATAATCTCCTTTTTCTGAGCTTCAAAAAAGGTGCTTGAGTAATATATAATTACGAAGCTTCCTATCACGGAAGCAGTCTCTAGTCTGCATACCAGTAAGCACAAAACCCAGTCTTTTTTTCTCGTTCAATATCGAGCAGGAACTTTGTCCAACAAAGTTTCTTCTATAGTCCACCTTCCGAAACTCTTAGGAAGCCACCAGAGAGGCTGGTGGTTTTCAGGGAAAAGCCTGCTGTGGTTGTCCTCATCTCTGGTAGTATCTTTACATGATCCAGTGCTAATATCATACAAAACAAAAAAAAAGGAAGTTTAGGCCGCAGCCTTGCGCTGTCCTTGCCAACCAACTGGCCATTAAAAAGCAGCACACATATACTTTAAGATGGCCTCAGTCAACCCACCCTTAACATCTGCCATGCTCTTAAAAACAACAACAGCAACAAAAATCAAAAAAAAATCCGTATTATCTTTCTGAGTTTCTATGTGTACAGAAAACATTGTCTCTATGGTAGGCCTGGGACCATGCTGACACACTTTACATAGTTTGTACTTGTGGCACACTCTAGGACGTTGATGCCAAGGGCTCTTTCTCTCTAGTTTTCGGTGGGTTAGGCTTTGTCATTAATGGGTACAGAGAGTGAGAAAACTTAAGGAGTCTACAGACTTGGTAAGTTGCTGTTTGGTAGTCAACCTGAAAGGATTCTCCTTCCACACAATGTCCTTCTCCTTTCTACAGCTATATATTACATGCAGATAAACCCACAGTAACTTTAACTTTGGTGCTAAAGTGTTCTGTAAAACACTTTGGTCAAATATCACAAGGAAAAGCGGGAATGATTCTTTTTCTCTCTCTGGCACACTGTAGGAGTGAAACGGAGCCCATCCTGTTAAAGTCTTAGAGCTGTACATGAATTCACAAACCCAATACAGTCCATTAAGCAAGTGCACAATTGTAGCTGGTTTTTTTTGTGATTTTTTTTTGTGTTTTTTTGTAGCGGTAAAGAAAAAGTCTTTCTGCATAGAGAGGTGTCTCACACCGTTTGATAGAAGCTGTCCACTTGTAAATTGTTTTGCTTTGTGTTTGGCATGCTGTAGAAACCACTGTGTCTGGAATCTGGGTCTGCCATTCTCAGCATCCTCTGGGAGCTGTCCACCTGAACCATGGTTCCTTTCTTACAGTCCACATACACCAGCTGGTTGTTCAGACATGAGGGCTGTTAGAGGGAGAAACAAGACTTAATTGGAGTCATTCCCAAACTCTCAAACATAACGCCAAGTGCACCAATTTGTTTGCGTGCTTACAATTTTCCATCTCTCTGGCTGTTGTTCACATGTACATTCCATCCTGCAACAATTCCCTATCTCGATCCTCTCCTGATAGTGCTGGGGAATGGCTCCGCGCACACTGCAAAAATATCCGCCCACTTCTGTTCCCAAACAGTAATGACTGACGCTCCTGGGGGATTGAGCGGTAGTGGTCAAGGTCTTGAAAAATCACAATCCTGCCTCTTACCCTGTTCACTTCCACCTTTAACTGGGACCTGGGAATGTGGATGGAGAGCCAACCTGTTCTGAGACAGGGATTGGGATTCTTGGTTGGCACCTTCAATATTTAAATGGTCCTGGCCGTGAATTAACTGTGTTTTTTAAATGGTACAATGGCTGGCTATGTATAGGTGAAGGCTTCTGGCTTCACCAGCTAAGAATGCCTGTTTGGGTCGGCCCTGCTATTGGACACCCCAACACTGACCACATTTGTCAGGCTGCTCTTCTGACCAGGTCAGCCTTTGGGCAGTGGAACCAGTTGATAAAACCACATGAAACCTGACCTCTGATCCTTTAGCACATTACTGACAATGCCCCAGCTCTGAGTGGGTCTGATAAGTTTAGATTTCATGCCCGGTGCCCACATACCATCCTACTGCTGGAGTGCCAGAGCCAAATTTCAAACCTGCCCTCCATACACACACAAACAGTGTTCAGTGGGATTGCTGGACAGCGACAGGAGTACGAACCCAGGTTGTCATTTTGCTGTCCCTATGCCCAGGAACACTAGCGCTGCCCCATTTCAGGTCCATGACCTGAGCGAAGGCTACAATTTGTCTCTGGAGTCTTCTTCTGATGTATGTGTCATCAGGGCACTTGGTACACGGCACAGAGCAGGAAGTGAGCCAGACTTCAATTGGCAGGCCCCGTCTAAAGAAAAAGAGGTGACAGAGAACAGGAAGTGGACTGGCATTCCAATATCATGATCACATTGCCCAGTTCTCTGAATGGACTACTGGCAAGTTTGAAGCTTAGTTTGAGAATGGGACTAACCTCCTGAGCCAAGATGCAAAGCTAAAGTATATCTTGGGGCACAATTTGGCCTGGGCAGAAACAGGGTGCTGCTGGACTGGCTGCCTGTTACACTCAGTTTCATTGCAGTCAATCACCACAGGCTAGCGACTCAATAAAATGTTACATTTCAGGCTTCAGATTAATGACTTGCTGTGTTTATCTTTTTCTCACAGACCGGTTTATAGCTGTAACAAAATATGACTAATATGACATTTTGAAATATGATGCCTGCATTATGGCTTTGGTCTCTTACATACATTTTCATCACTTTTGCTACTCTTTAAGAACCAACTTGGTCATATCAAAACCCGATCTCTCTATCGCTCATTCCTTTTAATATATATTACCATCTTTTTGACATTTGATCCGCATTTTAACACACGCTGCAGTGGTTCAGTGCCACCTTCCTAAGGCCAGTTAGGGATGGGGCAAGAAATGCAATTTTCTTTCCACAAGACACTATCACATGGAATTAACTTGTTCTTTGTTGCTGTGGATCTCCTATTTGTTCATTCTTTTCCCTTGTTGACTCAGATTTCTTCCTCTTAAGTTGGATGGTTCTATGCAAGTAAGTATGAAGGAAGTTTTTGTAGAGTGGCCAATTTAGCAAATGCTATAGTTTAGTCCAAGCTCTTTTTTAAAGTTCATTCATGGGATGTAGGCATCTCTGGCTGGGCCAGCATTTGTTGCCCATTCCTAATTGCCCAGAGGGCAGTTAAGGTCACATTTCTGTGTGGGTCTAGAGTTACAGTTACGCCAGACCAAGGAAGAATGGCAGATTTCTTTCCCCGAAGAACATTAGTCAACCAGATGGGTTTTTATGACAATTGACCGTGGTTACAAATGCTGACAGTGATCATCCTTAGACTAATATCTAATTAAATCTAAATTTCACCATCTGCCATGGTGGAATTCAAATCCGTGTCCTCAGAATATTAGCCTAGGTTTGTGGATAGCTAGTCTGGTAACAGTACCACTACACCACTACCTCCCACTGTCTCTTGAGAAAGAACCAACTTTTATTGTCAACAATGTGCATTTGAACAGGACCTTAAAGTAGTAAAAAGAACAATGATGCTTCACAGAGATGGAAAGGATTCCTATCAGCTGCAGAAGAATGGGGAGGTTTGAAAGTGAATCCAAGAGTACACCAAAGTGGGCAGGACCAAAGAACATTGGCTGGAACAGTAAGCCAGAGGACATTGGCTGGGATAAGGCTGTCGATGGGCCTAAAGGCAAAGACAAAGGAGATAAGAAGAATCTACATTACACTTGGCCTTAAAATGCGGTGGAAGCAGATTCAATTGTGAACTTCAAGAGGGAACTGGATACATAATTATAAAAAGAAAAAATGCAGGGCTATGGGACAGAGTGAATGGGGAGTGAGAACAATTTATGTAACTCTCAAAAAGCCATTAGAAGCAAAAATGGAATCAATGACTTCCTGTTCTGCTGTTATGATTCTACAACAGGTGAACAGGAAAGGACAGACAGAGGTGAGGAGGTGGGGTTTCTGTTCGTGTATGGGGTGGGGCCACGAAGGGAAGGAAACAGGGTACTTCCCATATGGACGGTGGGTCTATCCTCTCCATTCCTCACAGTCCAGGCTCATGGCCAGCTCCTGGAGACCAGACTGGGTCAGGAACAGCTACCTGCCTGCGGGGCAGCTTGTTGACTCAATCTAAGGGCCAATTAAAACTGGTGACCTGAGGGTGACTGAGTGTCCTCTTGGCCCCCTCAGCTCTGACAGCATTAATTGGATGAAAAGTGTCTCCTCAGCCATTTGCTGGCCAGTCCTGGAAAAGTTGCTGCTGAGTGATGTTCCTGATGGTACGGGGTGGAGACTTGCATTTGATCCTGACACTGGGGTCCTGAGGCCAAACAGAAAATGTTGCCCTCAGTGTGAAGAACGTGCCATTCTCATCAGGTACTCATCATGAGGCTGCTGAGGAGAGTGCTGGAGAAGTTGATTCTTGGTGTGATAGGAGAGTGGATAAGGAGCTTGGCTGTAATGGAAGGTAACAGCACAGCGGAGATAGCCTTGGCCATGGTGATGTGAATAAGCAGATTCTGTTCTATATGTAATAGGGTTTGAAGCTCATCCCAGGACTGAATAGGATGCTGGAGTCATGTGCTAACAGACTGAACCTAAATGTGAAATTAGGAGGGAGGATGGATGCCTCAAGTGCCGATGGTTTGGTGGGAAAGGATTTATCTCCTTAATGAGCCTTCTAATTAAACAGCAAAATTACTTTTAGTTTCAGTAATGCTCACAGGTACCATTCACATTAGTTCTTGTTTATTACTAAAGATTAACTCTTCCCTCATTAAAGTTTCAGATTCTCTTAGAGTACATTCTAATGAGTCCTAGACCACGCTCTTAACAAATAGCCAACTTGCAAGAAGCCACATACTGTTTTGTTTTCTGAGAACAGCTGACTCAATCCAATCCCAAGATTTGAACCTGACACATTCTTGCTGGTAGATTTCAGCGACATGCACTATATTTACAAATGATAAGGCAGCAATTCAGACTATTCAGAACTGCAATGATTATGGGGGTGCCTGAGCCAATGTAAATCCAGGGCTGCTTCTAATTTTTGATAGCATCTGACTGACACCTTGCGGTAAACCATTGAAATTAAGGGAAATAAAGACTTGCAGTTATATAGCACCCTTCACCACTATTGGGCACCTCAAGGTGTTTTGCAGTCACCTGAGCAGTCCTGAAGTGTAGACATTGTCATAGATAAATGTGCTCTCTGTAAACTCCTACAAACAGCTATCTGGTGATGAGCCAGTAGTCTGTTTTTTGACAAATAGTGCCCAAGATTCCAGGGATAACACTCCTGCTCTCCCTCGGTAAAACACAATGGGACCTTTGACATCATCCCAAGATGGGGCCTTGGTTTAACATTTCATGTGAAAGGCAGCAGCTCCGACAGTGTGGTACTCCCTGATCAATGCACTGGAGTGTCAGCTGGGATTTGTTTCTGCTCTAAATTACAATTACCACATCAGGGTTGAGATCCACCACCCATCTCCTTTTGTAACCAAGAACTAAGAAGCTGCACACATCCTTCCTCTTCTCCCAGCTACTTATTATGAGCTTTCCTTAAATAGTGAATCCCAAGTGCATTCAGGTAATTGCTTTTGATGAGCAATGGAGCTGAATTAACAAGATGCAGTAATTAACCTAGAGTAATTCAGCCCCTTGAGTTAATTCAGTTCTCTCTCTCAGTGCTCGGCTCAGTAACGCTTTCCAGTCAATTATTTCAAAGTCGTCTGTGTGTTCTGTTTAAAGTATAAATATTTCATTAATAAAAAAAATTAACAAGTGGGTGTTAAAGGGGAAGAAAGTAAATGCAGTCTAACAGTTCTTTTCAAATGAATGATCCTTTAAATGTTGGGAGGTACACCTAAGAACTTGACGTGGCTCGGAGCGCTTTATTTTGTTTCAAAATCGTGAATAGGTATGTTTATGATAACTTTACACAGCGTATTACTGATTTGGTCCACTTTACTAAACTACACTGTAAGTGCTACTTTCTGAAAGACCTGGCGATGACTGGCCGAGTTGGCTGAAGACTCAATTTGGAATATGGTGTCAGAGGCACATTTATTAAGATATTTCTCATTTGGCAATTAATCCCTACTGGCTTCCTAGTCTTCTGAAAATGCAGGTTTCCCCCACGGGGGTGGGGTTCCAAGAGCACCAGTTATCCTGTATAAGACTTGCCCATTATTTACCTATGAGCTTTCTCTCTGATCCTGTACGGGCATTTTAGCTGACCCTGATTCCATGCCTACCTTCTGTCAACACATGCATTCAATTCCTTTTTGCTCTTTGGATGTGAACTTCACTGGCAAAGCCATTTATTTTCCATCCTTAAGTACAGTCATAGAGATGTACAGCAGGGGAACAGACCCCTTTGTCCAACTCATCCATGCTGATCAGATATCCTAAGTTAATCTTGTCCCTCTTTTTTCTCTTTATTCATTCCTGGGATGAGGGCATCGCTGGCCAGGCCAGTGATTATTGCCCATCCCTAATTGCCCAGAGGGCTGTTATGAGTCAAACACATTGCTGTGAGTCTGGAGCCACATATAGGCCAGTAAGGATAGCAGTTTCCTTCCCTAAAGGACATTAGTGAACCAGATGGGTTTTTCTGACAATCAGCAATGGATTCATGGTCATCATTAGGCTCTTAATTTCAGATATTTATTGAATTCAAATTCCACCAGCTGCCCTGGTGCGATTCAATCCAGGTCCCCAGAACATTATCAGGGTCTCTGGATTAACAATCCAGTGATAATACCACTAGACCATTGCCAGCATTTGGCCCATATCCCTCTAAATCCTTCCTATTCATGTACCCTTTGAGATGCCTTTTAGATACTGTAACTGTACCAGCCTCCACCACTTCCTCTGGCAGCTCATTCCATACACATCCTCTGTGTGAAAAGGTTGCCCTTTAGATCCCTTTTAAATCTTTCCCCTCTCACCTTTAACCTATGCCTTCTAGTTTTGAACTCTACTACCCTGGGGAAAAGACCTTGGCTATTCACCCTATCCATACCCCTCATGACTTTTTAAAATTTCTATAAGGTCACCCCTCAGCCTCCAATGCTCCAGGAAAAATAGCCCCAGCCTATTCAGCCTCACCCTTTGCATACAGCAGTTTGATATGACTCAGTGATAGATTATGACGGTATTAAGAGTCAACATGTAGGCCAGGCTCACTAAACTTAGCAGATTCTCTGAATGGTAACAATGAATCAGATGGGTTTTTAATGACGATATGGTCATTTCATGATCATCCCTCCCCATTCCCCACACACTTTTGCCTTAACCAGTTATACGGGAGCATACTCAGAAAGAAGGACAACACGTACCTTTGTAGGAGCTCTGTAACACGGCACTGGGATCCACTGCTTCTTCTGGTTGACCAGCAGCAGAGCTATGACTAGAACAAGAGCAATCATGATGGGCAGTGCCACCCAAGCCACTGAGTGCATAGCAGAATCTTCACTGTACCGGGGATAGTCTCCACCTATCGCGTTTACACGGAGGTTCTCTATTGGAGATGAAGAGAAAAGACAAAGTCTAATATTAATAGAGGAAGGGTTTACACTGAGGCAATGGCCATTCAACATGGCAGCCTTTAAGGTGGGTGGGGGCACACATTTTCAGTACCACCAAGATGAATGCTTTTTCATGGGATGCAGGCATTATTGGCAAAGGCAGTACTCCTTACCCATCCCCAAGTACCCTTGCCAGGCCATTTAGAAGTCAGCCATGTTGCTGTGTGGGTGTGGAGTCACACATAGGGCAGTGAGCCAGATGGGTTTATAAACAACAACTAGCAGTGATTACATGATCACTATTGGGTTAGCTTTTACATCCAGACTTTCACTGAATTCAAATTTTACCATCTGCCATGGTGGGACTTGGAAGTACAACCCCAGGACATTGGCCTAGGATTCTGGATTACTAGATCGGTGATGCTACCACTGGACCACCACAAAACCCCACTACTGCTGAGCTGTTTTTCTGAGAAAGAGTAGTCAAATTTGTACACACAAACTGAGATGAGAAGATGCCTGCTCAGTTATGGTTTCTATGTTGTGAAAAATAATGAATCTGGTGTCACTGTGATGGTTCAGAAAAGGGTGTAGAAGGCTGATTCTAGACCAGGAAAAGGTTGTATAGGTGACAGCTCTTTTCTCTAAAAAGGACATAGGGGACAGTTGCCATGTCTTTAAGGTGACAAAGGGGTTCCATACATTAGATGGGGGAGTTTAACAGTTTTTATTTGTTGGGGAGACCAGAACTAGGGATGATAAATAGAAGATACTCACCAATTAATTTAATTGGGAATTCAGGAGATATTTCTCTACCCAGAGACTGTGGAAATTATTACCTCATGAGGCAAAAAATAGAAATGTAAATAAAGGAAATGAATATTTTTTAAAAAATTCTTTTCTGGGATGTGGGCTTTACTGGCAAAGCCAACATTTGCTGCCCATCTGTTTGCCCTTGAATTAGGTGTCCTGTTCAGCCACTTCAGAGAGCAGTTAATAGTCAATCACATTTGCTATTGGTCTGGAGTGACATGTAGACTAGACCAGGTAATGACAACAGCTTTCCTTCCCCTACAGGAAATGAGTCAACTGGTTGGGTTTTTCCAACAACAGAGAAAGGATAGTTTCATGGTCAGCATTACCAAAACTACCTTTCAATTTCACATCTTTATTCAATTGAATTTAAACAACAGCAGTAACCACAGTGGGTTTTGAACCAGTGGACCCAGATCATAACCCATAGTGACAAAACCACTATCCCACATCCTCCCCCATACGACCAAGGAACAGAAGTTTGACCCCTACAGCCCGCACCATCGTTCTGACTGGTTGTGGTTTTTCTGGCTATAGCCTCAAATTTGCATTCTACATATTTAAGTACATGAAGTAGAAGTGAACAGGATTTGCTGATGAGATGAAATCAGGTAAAATGAAACACTTGAAAACAGTGGGAAATCAGACAGGGTGCGTACAATCTGTCATCACCTTTTACACAGGCCAACCCAAACTGAACAGTCTGGATGGCGTCAAGGGAAAGACAGATTTAAGAATTGAATAAGTCTTTTATCTGTTGAGCAACAGGAACTATAAAAGGTGGAGATGCCGGCTATCATGCGAATGTCTGCATTAATCTCTGTAAGGGCTGCTGACTCACGATTTACAAAGTTCATGGCTGTACAATGCTTTGTGTCTTCCGTAGGCCTGTCTCCTGGGTACTGCTGACGAAGAGTCATTGAATGATAAAGGGCACTGTATTACTGGTTTACTGAGCAGACCACGATTCTGGGATCGTCTCTGACGCTGGTGAATTTTACAGGCTATCTCACAAGATAAATAAACCCAGCGTTGCTTCTCAAATAATTACCCACGTTAACCATTATCTTATCGAGAACTAAAGGAGATGCTTTAGGATGGAATGATTTTCAAAATGTTAGACATCACAGCACAACAATCAATATTTTTCATTCTCAATGGTTAACCCTTTCCTGTGACTGCTGGAGTGTCAATTTCCCCCTTGCCTTGCCCTCTCCTCCCAGGAAGACCACGTTTCGAGCAGGAGCCACCAGCTGTGCAGAGGGGGTGGCTTTCAGATTAGGATGGGAGAAAGCTGTTGCTGTTTCTGGCGACTATCCAGCAGCCACCCTTGGCAATGTAAGTGTGTTGTCAGCAATGCCCCATACAGTCAAACATCCTGTGGGCACACAGAGGCAGGCAATGTGACAGGAGGCAGCAATGACAATCGACTAGCCTGCAGCAGGTAACCCACTGAGGCTCATCAACAGCCAATCAGCTGCGAATTTCCAGTGGTTAATGTAGACTTGTAGACATGACGGGAAGCTGTGCCCACACCTCGGCGGGTTACAGGTGGCACAGGCAGAGAGTGAGCGGCTGGAGGGCAAATAATTCAACGTGGACATCAGGGTGGGAGGTGAAAGGGTATTTTCCATTGTGGGAGAGACTAAAAATAAGAGACAGAGTCTAACACGGTGATGAGGAGGAATTTCTTTTCTCTCATCATTGTGAGTCTTTGGAACGCCTTTCCCTTGAGAGGAACAGTCATTGATTGTTTTTAAGGCTGAGGTAGATACATTCTTGACTGAAGGCATAGTCGCCACAGTCTTACCACCCTTCATTAGAGAGAGAGAGATGACTGGCGGAGGTTTAACCTGAGGTCACCACACCTCAGGCAAGGGGAGAGATTGAGGAGGAGAATCCTTTATGGTAACCTCAGCCACTGCAGGAATTGAACCCACATGGTTGGCAACACTACATTGCAAGCCAGTCAGCCAGCTGAGCTAACTAACTAACACAGGAGTTAAAGACTATCGACAGATGCCAGGAAGGTGGCGTTGAGGCTACAATTGAATGGCTGGGCAGGCCAGAGGGACTGAATGGTTTATTCTACTCCTATCACCGACTGGCCTGCGGTCCTTGACAGGCAAACACTGAGCAGCACACACACATACACACACACACACACCTTCTCACACTCTCACACACACAAACACCTTCTCACACTCTC